AAAAGGTCATTTGTAGATAGTAATAGACGTTTTGTAATGTTATAACACTTTTTTCTCATATATTCTTCGGGATTTCAATACACATAGATCCAGCTCAATTAAGAGTCATTGTTGACCTATTTGCAATAGTTACGATTGTAGGAGTTATGTTGTGTACATCCGTTAATCGAAATAGATAAGGAGTAGCATGTATTAATGCACTGGAATTGAGTAAATCCATTGTTTGTGTATAGGATTTCTTGTTAGCTATGATTGTATTTGTAAATACGTTGGTACATACCCAGGAAACGTATTGTTCGAATTGTTTGTCCTGGTTGCTTGGAATAAGAGTGTAGGCATTATTGTTCATTTCAATGTTGCCTTCTTTTAATTCAACATTGTTTTCGTTTGGGTTTTCAATAATAAATGTGTTCATTGTGTTTTCTGCAGTTTGATTCGTTTTATACACAATGTTAGCCTGATGTTTGGTGTGTGCAAGCTTTGTAGCTTCAGTAGGAGGTTTGCAGTATTCCTTAGAGAAATGTCCTGTTTTTCTGTAATTGAAACATTTCACTTTTGTTGGATTGAATGGATTTGGCAGATTGAATTTCCTCTGCTTATTGGCTTTATACATTGTATTAATGTGTGCATTATTCTTTGTCCAATCATTGGAATCTTGTACTTGTTTAGCACAGTAATTGTTGTAGGCATTCTGTAATGCAAGGATTAGTTGCTTTGGTTCAACTTTCTTATGTTCATTAACTGGTTTGCCTTTGTTTTGGGCATCAGTAGATTGTATTATTGTATTTACTACGTGTGTATATTACTCAGGAGTAGCAAGCAATATTGCTGCTTTGTATGTAGAGTTGTGTGGTGGATCACTGTTAGCAGACAGAGTTGTATATGCTTCCTCAAGTCTGTCTAATGTATGTCCAAAATGTTTTACATGGTCTCTACAAATAAACAGTGCTGATTCATTGATAGCCTTTTTACATACTGTCTGGGGGTTAAAGCATTCTTCAAGCACTTTCATTAACTGAGGGATAGACATATTGAAATGTATATAGTTTGCCAATATTGTGTTGGCAATGTTATTGACTATGCATACATGAATGGCCTTAGCCATCTCTCTCTCAGCTTCGTTCTGTGGTTCATCCTTTAGTAAGTGTTTGAAGCACATAGCTGCAACACTAGAAACAATGCAGTAGTGCCACATCTTGTAGTTTGCTTCAGTCTTAAGCATTGTGATGTTTTGACCAAAGTATTTGGGTACATTGGCTGGTTTACAGTGTGTATCCATACATGGGGGAACCATGATGCAAATGTGTGCGAATGTATGCAAGTAAAGAGTTTAGAGTGTACAGTGGATGTGTGTATACAGGGAGCTCAAGGCTCATAACCTGTTGAGAGGGAGAACTTAAGGGGGGCACACATAGACAAGGGGTGAGGTAACAATTGACTGCTCAGTGTCTCTCATCCTTATATTGTATGTATTCTAACTGAGACATTATGAAGTCATCGTCTCATGGTTCGTCCGTTGATGAACTAATCATCTCATAATAGTACTCTTGTGTAGTTTAGTATATATAAGTGTACAAGATCAGACTGGTCCTGTAGTCTTGATCTTGTCTACTCTAGGTAGTCCTGTACTCTTAGGCTCACTCTATATACTCTACTCTTGTCTCACTCTCTCTCTCTGCCTGTTCTGCCTGTTCTGACTACATTCCAGTGCTTGTGTTCTGTATTTCTGTTGTGTAGGATAGTTGTAGCCTGGGTCCCCTTGCTGAGCCTTTGGGTCCCCTCTACACTGTTGCTGACAATCAACTAGTATAAGTTTGAGGAGTAGTGTTAACATTTATTTTGAATAAATGTGTCTAATGTCTCAGTATGTGTATACATACATTATACAGTACAGAACAGTCTCATTAGTATGTGTTATTATACTGAGACATTAACTGAGACATGTAACCAAAACATTTGAGACTACATAGTATATAAACTACCTAATACATTGACTGTAAAGCTATCTGAGTAATGGCAGAGTCTACTAAACCCTTACTAGTGTGACTTACCTCTAAGCTACTGCCAGAGCACAACACTGGGTCTATTACTGCTTTTACATAGACTAACACTCTCAATACTTGAATGTCATTCCTTATACACAGGGCTCACATCTTCTGTAGTTCTCAATCCCCTCAGCTTATAGATAGTTATTACTTTAGACACAGACATATGTATATAAGGGATAAGTACCTTGATAAACACAGTACATCCTATACCCACAATAAACACTCTAGCAGATCTGTGAGCCTGAGACAACATGGTTGAGGATGAAGTTCAAGCTGTGGAAATACACATCTGATCAATACTGTTCTAGCTATGTTTGAAAGCCAGAGATGACCACACAATCCTGCAGGTAACTGATCACTATAGTCAGAGCTTACTACTAAGTACTAGCTAGAGATCATACTCACATATTCTTCGGTTGCCAGACCAGATGACAATGATTATTGAGCTTAAACCAAGCTTTGACTGTCAGATAGTTACATCCAGGATAGCATAGAAAATACATGGAAAGCATACACAACAAGCAACAGAGGAACATACAAATGGTACAAAAGAAGAAAGTGTTTGGATCAATACATGGTAGAATCCTGTAATCTCCACCTCCTCAATGGTCCCAGCCACCAAATCGACCAGTTTTCTCGCGACGTCGGTGGTGGAGGTGCGCGTCGCCTCTGCCCACCCCTCGATGGCCTCCTCTCCCTTCATGCCTCCTCCCTGTCCAAGTCATCTTCGTTATGCGTCTGAGTGTGCGAGGCCAAGTCCTCTCGATCTTGTATTTCTGCCAACTCATTCTCCCTCCTCTCCCTCTCTCTCAATCCAAAGCTTCCAAGTCCCCACCCAACAACGTCCGTATCTGCAGCTTCTGGTGATGTACCGGACGTTCTTGCAGCAGCAGCCACCTCGTTTCCATATACTGCCCGTCTTAAGCGCATACGTTCGAGTGCTTGACTATGTGCTGCAGCAAGATGCGCTCTGTGTAGAAGGTGGTAGAAGTGCGAGAGTGCGAGCATGGGAGGTGTTGTGCGAAGTCGGGACAGTATATTACTCGGCCCAGCCTCCGTCGTCGTCGGTGAGCTCGCCGTAGTTGACGCAGACGATGCTTCCACAGCTTGGGTTATGTTGGCTCCTCTTGAATGATCCGT